AAACGTTGAAAACGAGTTTCTTTGTTAATAACTTTATATGTTGAACTTGGACATTATAAATTTATTTATAACGATTCTTTTTTGTAAAGTTTTTATATATATGATGTAACATTACTGTGTTTGTAAATGTTTCGCAGATAACACGATGAATTCTTTAAGTGTTCCTAGAGTTTTCTCCTTTCTGACGTCAATCTGAGCACATATTGCTATGAAAATACAATACAAATGATATCATGTGCTGTATAGGTACTGAAAATAAAGGAAAATGAAGACAAAAAAATATATAAACAAAAGGATAATTCGTAAGTTTTTTAGGAATACTTTTTAAATAAAAGTTAGAGTTTAGAGGAAACATAAGGTACCTATATAACATATAATATTATTTGTACTATTTTCGTAGAAATCTGTGTTCAGATTGACGTCAGAAAGGAGTAAACTTAAGGAACACCTAAAGAATTCATTGTGCTATCTGGCAAAACATCAACAAACACAGTAATGCTACATTAATATTATAATATTATAATTTTCCACTTAAAAGTGTGAGTGCTACATATAACACATGTATGTGTAAGATATCAGCGGATATTGACATTTTTACATCTAACAACACGCAGTAGAACCTCTAAAGCCGTACGAGGAGACGAACTTCCCCACCTCCGCGCGCATTATAAAAACCGAGGGTATGAGCTAGAGGAGAGCAGTTATTTTAGAGAGAGAAGTTAAGGAAAGAACCAACACATGGTCTTGAGGCACAAATAGTTAGTCGCTTGAATTTGGACGACCGTAAGCTTTTCATAAGTTAGTGGAGTAAAATCGTATTACTTACCACTTAGTTGTTGAGAGATATTCACCTTGGGTGATTAGTAAATTATTGTAAACTTAAAGAGTTTATTAGTTGGACTTTCTTTAATAAGGAAGGAGAATTTCCTTGAAGGTATTTGTCGTTGAAAGGAAAGCTAGATTGCGGATCGTATTAAAGACTCATTATTCAAGGAGTTTGTATCGATATATATTACATCAAATAAGTGCGGTGTATTAGCAAGTGTATTTACTCAAACTTGTGCAACTGAACAGTATTACAATAAACTTATTGTTAATTCAAACGTAAAGATCGTTGTGAAATCTTTCTTTATTGGTAATAACCCAAAGGTCATCCGGATACGTATTGTTGCTAAGGTATAACTACCTAAAAGTAACATTACAACCTTGTCAGAAGTAGGATAAGATATACATAATCCGGCTCGTCATTGTTATAAGATCTTGAGATAATCTACAGTGATTATTGGTAGTCATTTAAACTTAACTGTTATTGTTGGCGTTTTTGCCGTTTGGAACCATATTTGGAAGTGTTGGTGACTTTGAACACGTATTGTCGCACGTGATACATCAGTGCTACAGTATCACACAGTTTCTCTAAAAAGATCGTTAGAAATATAAACAGTATAAGGTGACCGCAGGACCTGGAAATAAGAGATATTGGGAGACAGTAATTTGAAAAACCGGTGGTTATCGGAAAGAGATAAACATGGATCGACATGCTTTAGACAATATGTCGATGGATCAATTGAAAGCAGAAGCCAATAAATATCAATTAAAAGCTCATGGAGATAGGAATTCATTAATTGATGCTATAGTAAACCATTGGGAATTGAATAGCCCGATGAGAGAGATGATCGCAATAGCCCAACCAATGGATACTCTAATTGTTAACGCTCCAACAGCTAGACCGACTTCGGGGGATGGTATTTCATCTACTCCGGAAGGATCTCGTCCCGCTACATCTGCAAATGGATTTAACAATTTAGAAATGGAGAACATGTTCACGAGAATGATGTCCGCATTGACAACTTGTATTCAAAATCAACAACAGTTCATGGAGCAACAGAAGATCGCAATGTATCAGCAGCAGCAAGTATTGGCAAAAATAGCAAGTGCGGTGAACGGTAATATTACGGGTGTTAATGTCTCACCGGACCGAGGCGAATCGACTTCTGGCAGCAGTGGAGGTGTGGATGCAGGTCTTTGTCAGCAGGCTATACCAGTGCAAGCAGCTCCAGTCATTCTTCCGAACACAATGGCAGTACCTTCTGCGAATATACTATCCTTGGTGTCATCACAGATTTCAGAATTCGGAGGCACGGAAGCAGAGAACGTCCACGTATGGGTTCAAAGAGTCAATCAGGTTGCAACCATTCAAGGTATCCAAGATAATTTAATTTTGCTAGTCGCTTCATCAAAATTGGTTAAAGAGGCGCGTCGTTGGTTTGACTTTCAATCTGGATCGATATTAGAATCATGATTATTATTAAGTGATCATTTAATCAAAATGTTTGATAAACGGGTTCCGTTCTACATAACGATGCAGAAAATAGAAGCAAGAAAATGGCTTCATTACAAAGAAACTTTTGATCAGTACTCTATTGACAAGTTAGCCTTATTACATCGTCTTAATTTACCTATAGAAGATATCATTAATCTGTTAATTAGTGGTATCACTATTAGCTCGCTACATGCAACGGCACTCACTTTAGAGGTAAATACGGTAGATCAATTCTTAGTTAAGATACGAATTATTACAAAAAGATTTCTCAAAATGGATAAAACGTTTTCTTCGACCAATAAACCTGTAGATAATAAAGATAATATTTGTCGAAATTGTAATAAACGAGGGCATCAAGCTAAAAATTGTTATAGCACAGGTGAGCTTACATGTTATTACTGTAAGATGAGAGGTCATACCAAACAAGATTGCTTTAAATTGCGTCGAAAAGAACAAGCTCAATCGGGTCGGCCGATAACATCTATTATTCAAGCTGGATCAGGAGTAGCGTCGACTTCAAGAGATGGATCACAATTGGTAGGAATAATAAATCAACAGTTGCATGATAATTTACGGTCTGGAAATCCATATATCAGGGTTCTTGAAATTAATAAAATTAAATGTAAATTGCATGCTATGATAGACACAGGCAGCCCAATTTCGCTTATAACTGTCAAATTGTATAAACGTTTCTTTAATAAGACGGGTAAAAATTTACAAGAGTCGAATGATCGTTTTGAAACAGTAAACGGTCAAGAAATTAGTATTCTTAGTTCGATAATTACTTCGATTAAGTTAGAAAGTTTTGGTGAACGTCATATTCAAATATTGTTGTATGTCGCTAATGTAAATAATATAGGAACAGATATAATAATTGGTCACGATTTCCTTGTACAGGAGAAGGTATATTTCCTTTTTCCTACTCAGGTAGAAAATAATAATCAAGTTTTAAATGTGTTTAATGAAGCATTTGCAGATATGGAAATATCTTCGAAAGACGATAGTCTGGAGGATGTTTTAGATTCTTTGTCAATTGATTTTGATTTAATGATTAAAAAGAAATTAGTAGAATTACTTTCAGAAATTGAAAATAGTCAAATATCTAAAGTTGAAGACGACTATGCAGTGCAAGTTAATTTAAAAAACTTTATCACATATGCATATGCTCCGCGTAAGTTCGCTGTAGCAGAAAGAGAAGCTATTCGAAAAATTACAGATGATTTATTACAACGTGGTATTATAAAACCGAGCGTATCACTCTACTGTGCGAGGGTAGTTCCGATAAGAAAGAGAAACGATTCAATTAGGCTCTGTGTAGATTTGAGACCTTTGAATGAGAGAGTTCTAAAATAAAAATACCCATTTAATTGAAGATTGCTTATCAAAATTGTCAAATAGAAGAATCTTTACTTTATTAGATTTGCGTGATGGATTTCACCAGATCAAAGTTCATCCAGATCACATGAAGTATTTTTCGTTTGCCACTCCAGATGGGCAGTTTGAATATACCAGATTACCATTTGGCTATTAAAGCTCCGGCAGAGTTTCAAAAACGAATAGTACAAGTATTGCAGCCACTCATACGGAAAGATAAAGTAATTGTGTACATAGATGACATTTTGATACCAACAAATATAATACTATTGAAGAACACTTACAAGTACTTAAAGAAGTTTTAATCATCCTTAAGCAATACGGGTTCGAGTTAAATTATAGAAAATATTTTTTCTTAAAATCTAAAATAGAATTCTTAGGATACATAATTAATTCAGAAGGCATCACATTAAGTGATAGACATACACAGGCAATTGATTCGTTTCCTCTTCCAAAGAATATACATGAGTTACAACGTTTCTTAGGTTTAACAAACTATTTTAGAAAATTTATCGAAGGCTATGCACTCAAGGCTAAACCGTTAACCGATTTGTTAAAGAAAACCGAAACATTTTGTGTAACCGAACGCGTTAAACAAGCTTTCGAAAATCTTAAAAAAAAAAACTGGTATCATACCCAGTTCTTAGACATTTTGATCCTACCGCTGAAACGGAGTTGCATACAGATGCCAGTTCACAAGGGCTAGACGCTATTTTGTTGCAAAAACAAGCTTCAGGTCATTGGGCTCCAATAACATACTATAGCCAGGTAACAAACAAAGCCGAGGCTAATTATCATAGTTTTGAGCTAGAGATGTTAGCAATTGTTAAAGCCGTGCAACGTTTTCACATTTATTTGTATGGTATGAATTTTAGAATAGTTACAGATTGCAATGCAATTGTTTACGCCATTAACAAAGCTAATTTGAATCCCAGAATAGCGAGATGGACTTTACAATTACAAAATTATACCTTCACCGTTATACATAGATCTAACGTCAGTATGAAACATGTAGATGCATTGAGTCGCAGAATTTCTTATATAGAATCATTTCCTTTAGAACGTGAATTAGAGTTCTAACAGTTACAGGATGTAAATTTAAAAAAATTAGCAGAATAATTAGAATTTTCCAATCATGAGAAATTCGAGTTAATTGATGGACTAATCTATCGAAAAGCGGCAGATCGTCCGAGATTTGTTGTACCGGAAACTATGATAAAAAATTTGATACGGATACATAATGATCAATTAGCACATTGTGGAGAAAACGTACCAAAGCTTACATCGGTCGTATTGGTTTCCAACTATGCGGAAAAGAATAAAGGATCATATAGAAAATTGTATCACTTGTCTATTAGCGAATGCGTCACAACATGGCAATGAAGGAGAAATGCAGATAGTTTCTGTTGCCTCTGCTCCATTGAAGACAATGCACGTAGATAATTTTGGTTCTTTGCAGCCGTCTGACGAAGGTTATAAATATATTTTGGTAGTAGTAGACGCGTTCACGAGATTCTCTTGGTTGTTTCCTTCGCGCACTACAGGAACACGCAAAACCTACAAATTAATGCGTATGATATTTGATGTATTCGGTGCTCCAAATTGTTTGGTCTCTGATCGAGGTACAGCTTTCACTTCGTCTGAATTTGCCGAGTTTATGAAAGAATACCAAATTAATCATCAGAAAGTAGTAGTAGCCGCTCCTTGGGCTAATGGAATAGCAGAACGTGTAAATAGATTTTTAAAATCGTCCCTTTCAAGAACGACGGAAAAGGCAGACTAATGGAATAAGCAATTGAGTCAAATTCAGTATGTATTGAATAATACTCGCCATATATCAATTAATACAACGCCAAGCAAAATAATGTTAGGTATGGAACAGCGAAATCACGCAGACAAAAATTTAAGCGAATTCGTGCGAGCGATAACACAAATTGATACAGATTTAGGAAAAGAGCGTTCGAATGCAAGAGATCTGGCGTTGGAGGCAACAAACCGACTTAAGCAGTACAAGTCCAATTATGATTCAATTCATAAAAAGCCTACTCAGTATAACGAGGGAGAATTTGTCTTTATTGAAGATCTTCAGGCTAAACCAGGTGTCAATAAAAAACTGAAACACAAGTATAAAGGCCCATATTTGGTATCAAAAGTTTTAAATAATAATCGATATGTTATTAAAGACATACCAGGTTTTAACATTACGGCCAGACCATACAATTCGATTTTATCGTCGGATAAGATCAAACCCTGGATCAAACCAATTAATTTATTAAAAAAAAAAATCTTGTTAACTAATTAGTACATAAAGGCTTTGGACCAGTTATACTACTTGAGAAAGAGATATGAATATAATGAATAAATCACTTACCATTAAGATCAGAACAGCAAAGTTCACTAATATACAGGTTGTCACTTAATCGAGTATAAATGTCTTTGTTTGAAATAATTTGTTAATTAACTTCGACATTCGAGACGAATGTAAGGTCAGGATGGTCGAGCTGTAAGATATCAGCGGATATCGATATTCTTACGCCATCTAACAACACGCAGCAGATCCTCTAAAGCCGTACGAGGAGACAAACTTCTCTCCTCCGCGCGCATTATAAAAACCGAGAGTATGAGCTAGAGGAGAGCAGTTATTTTAGAGAGAGAAGTTAAGGAAAGAACCAACACATAGTCTTGAGGCACAAATAGTTAGTCGCTTGAATTTGGACGACCGTAAGCTTTTTATAAGTTAGTGGAGTAAAATCGTATTACTTACCACTTAGTTATTGAGAGATATTCACCTTGGGTGATTAGTAAATTATTGTAAACTTAAAGAGTTTATTAGTTGGACCTTCTTTAATAAGGAAGGAGAATTTCCTTGAAGGTATTTGTCGTTGAAAGGAAAGCTAGATTGCGGATCGTATTAAAGACTCATTATTCAAGGAGTTTGTATCGACATATATTACATAAAATAAGTGCGGTGTATTTATTAATATTAGCAAGTGTATTTACTCAAACTTGTGCAACTGAACAGTATTACAATAAACTTATTGTTAATTCAAACGTAAAAACCGTTGTGAAATCTTTCTTTATTGGTAATAACCCAAAGGTCATCCGGACACGTATTGTTGCTAAGGTATAACCACCTAAAAGTAACATTACATATGTAACAGTTATTAAGATCAATGTTATAATTTCCTACTTAAGAATGTAACTGTTACATAAAACGCATTATATTGTATTTACATTATTGAATGGGAAATTATAACATTGACGTTATGTTACTGTTAGTTGGTGTTTACTGGGTTTGTACATCTTTATCTGTGCTGCGACGCTATTCGCGAAGATAGTTTCGCGAGCGACGGCAGACCGTCGCCTGTCAACCGCGTCAGCAAACTACCGTGGGCTCCGGTTCACGCCACCAAGTCGAAAAAGATTCGTTGCGCGCCAGGTGCGGAAAGGCCGCACCACCTTGCGATAACCGGGATAGGAAAGTACACGTAATTCGCGTGTCGCGGAACCGTCGGGACCGGCAGCTCCAAGGGTTTTAAGTCGGAGACGGGATGGGTTAGGAGAAGGCGAAATCAACTCGACCTGATATCGATAACGAGGAATACGTTTATTGGGGGACTCTCGCACGTCCCGATATTCAACACGCGATATAATATGGTAACGGCAGCTCCTCGGGAGACGGTACGGTTCGCGAGAATGCCGCGCGAAGCCCGGGGACGATTTCCTCGGGCGAGCCTTTTATTAACCGCGCGACCACTCCGCGGACGAGACACGATGAAGTACGAGCCGATACGCGGCACAAATAAATTTTGAGCAGATGGTCGATCTTACTTTACTTACCA